ACAGCACAATATCAACCCTCCTCCCTTTTGCAAATCTTTCTTCTCTGCATAACGAAACATTCTTTCAAATATCAATGGCTAAAAAAAAAGCTTTTGGACAGTGGTATTGACATAGAGCAGTGCTGAGACAGGACATTTTAATAATCATTTAGCAAACAGAAAGAGCAACATGGACTATCATTCTGGCTCAGTTAAAAAAACTCAACCCCCAAATAACTGATCATCTACTTCTAAAAGAGAAAAGCTCTGAAGGTGCGAGCTGTGCTGCTGCCAGAGGAAGCCAATGGCATACATCTGGTACCTGCATTGACACAGCATTCCCAGCTAACTCAGTTCTTATCTAAGCTGCCTTTGGAGAAACGAGACACCATAAAAACCTCAGTCATCCTGTAACCTGGCACATCATCAAAGCCTCCTAACACACAATTACTGTGCTCCATGCCTTTAGACTTTTTTCCTTTGATTAAACAAAACCCCCACAATAGAATAAGAAACTTTCCAAGAGAAATTGTGTTTGACAGAAGATCAATGATGCAGAGGTGTTGGAGGGAAAAAAGCCAGCACTGTTTTGTGTACACCTCCAAGCTTATTAATGGATTGCTCTTAAAGCTAGATGCCCCTTCCCATCAGATCAGTATTTGATATTATTACTGAACTCGGAAGTCTGAGGTCTTCTTTAATCACATTAAGGAGTTTGCAATTGCTTATGCAATACAGTAACTCTATCATGCTGCCTGTAGTCATCCAGCCATTCCTCTAGGTTTTTGCCTTGTCGGCAGTAACACTCAGTGAAAACGCAGTGAAATCTGACTCACCACATCAACAACACAAGCTACATATAAATATGAATAACCTACCAAGTAAGCACCCAGCTGCTGCTTTAATGCATTAGCACATGTATAGTTATGCACATGCCTAAAAGGAACTGTCATAAACCTCCATAAAGAAACAAATAAGCTCTTGTGAGTGAAGAGAAAACTGTAAGCTTGCCCAGAAATCTGAATCCTGCTAGTCATCACTTTCAAGGCTCAAGCCAGCATGACAAAGCCTTTTCAAGTAAGGGTCTAAGTGAATCTGAAAGAGACACACTTTATATTCACCTCTCAGGACACCACTGCTTTTTTAAGCGAGCTGTAAGGGAAAGGGAAGCAACAGACAATAACTGGGTAAAGCATTAATGAAATAAAATTAAACTCCTTTCTAGTTCCTGTCATCTAAGCTTGTCTGCATCTCCTTTTAATACCTTTAAACAATTGCTCTGTGAACTGCTAAACCAGGGGAGTCCAACATCAAAGCGTTTGTGTCGTTTCAGCCCTTTAAATCTTGATGCAGATCATATGCTACTTCACCTGAGGACTTAGATGACTCCAGAGACAGATGCTAGTAAGCCAGTTTCTTGCACCTAAATGAGAGTACATCAATTCTGTCCAAGAGTACTTCCCCAAGGTAACAGGAGTCAATCACCTTTAAATGGTTACCTCCTCTGGGGACATACTTGACATATCAGGGAGCAGGCTGACCTGAGGGGCCTCCTTTTCTACTGTCCTCCCACCTGGCACCTACCCTCCACCTTGATCCCTATCTCAATCAATTAGCCAGGAACCAAAACATATGGATTGTTCAAACCGGGCATTTCAAGCAATTCAGAAACAAGTTCCTCCCTGCAGATCAAAACGGCACAGTGTACCTGTCAAAAGACCAGGTACACTGGTCTCCTTCCCTGCTACGGAAGAACCCCATGGAAAAAGGACTGAATCCTTCCAGCAGTACCACAGAGGCATCTCACCGTTCACTGCCTTGAGGCTCCCGCTAATGCCATCGCCATGCTGCCGCTTCTGTGCGTTCTTGAACTCCTTCAGAGATAAATAAAGGACCTTCCGCACCACCCTCTCCTCTGACCAGGGAATCCCATCGCTGTCATCCTAAAGAAGATGGAAACAGAAAGGAGACATTAGTTGCATGTTTCTGAAACAAAAACAAAACCCCAAAGGCTAGGGCTACACAGTTTATTTATAATTTAAAAAAAAAAAAAAGAAAGAAACTTAAGAAAAATACTCTGTAAGAAAATGCAACCTGATCGCCTCTAACAGAGAACAGAAACATAACTATTATCATCAAATCAGGGCATTAGTCCCTCTAATCCTTTATCCTACAAACAGCAGTAGCCATGTACTAGGTGTTAGACAGGAAGTGAAACTTAATTGTTAAAATCCTTATAATGAATCCCTCACAGAGAAATTTATCACAGCCAGGAAGTGCTCCCAGATAATTAGGAGGAGAGGGAAAAAAAAAAAACCACTAAAACAAATGTTGCAGAAATTTAAGAGGCAAGTTTCGTGAACTAACTTCTCTTGTTGCCATTTTGGCCTTGGTTTGTGCCTCCTGGCTCAGGTTATTTTTCCCTCTGGTTTTGTGATTTGCATTTATTGCAGTGTTACAATGAAGTTGTACATTGATAACAATGAAGTTATTTTGAATTAATATCAGCGTAAAGCCAAGTGGAATTTGGCTCACGGGGCAGATGTTTTCTACTTTATTTTGAGGAGACAAATGTTACATTGTCAAAAGGAATACTAGTGTATGTCATATTTAGAACTCACTTTAGTTACAAGATTAATTCCTTGGAAAAGCAACTCCCTAAAGTCTTTAGCATTCAAATAAATTAAGTCAGCGAACTGATATAAAGACGTGAGATAGGTAAGTCATCATATTTTCATAAGCCCTATAATTGTCTCAGGGTCTTTGGAAATCACTCTTTGAGCATTCTTGCCCTTGAACTCCTCAAGGGCTACATCACTGCCACACAAAAGATTAATATTTCTAGGCAGACCTTAAGTGGTAAGTCTAAGTGTACAGCAGCATATTGTCACATTACACTGGAAATCCCTAAAGCCCCATCAGGGATCCCCACCAGGAGGCAGGAGAGCTTAGACCATCCCATGTGCCAAAGTAATGCTGGGCATCACCAACTCAAAAAAAAAAATAAAAGCATAGCTTAGGGTGGCCAGTGATAGCTTTTTCTTTGATCCTCTAGTGACATATTGGCATTCAGCCAATTCAGTGATCAAAACCATTTCCAACTCCCACCCCTAAAAAAAATTTCTATGACAAATTACTTGGCGGGGGTTAAAAAACAAACAAACAAACAAAAAAAGGCAACAAAATGAGTGCAGTGAAAGCAGCCAGCGCTTTGGCAGCAGGATGTGCATTTTGCACGAGGGACAAGCTCCTACATTTTGAAGAAGGCTGAGCCATACCCAAGGAGCTTTAGAGCACAGGCAGCTCTGGGCCAAGAAAGCAAACTTTGTAACGCAACACCCAGAGCAACCAAAAAAAAAGGAAAAAACCTCCAGGCAAACACTTTAAAAGGACTAGTACATCCAGTTATTTTGTCAACAAAGGTTTATACCAACAGCTATGGCTTACCCTTTTGCTGCCAAACACAACTTCAGCCCTAAGCAGAAGCGACACTAAACACTTGAGAGCTGCAGCCTGCTCGATTTCAACAAAGCTTGCCCAAAGATGGCCCCATTTATACTCCCACCAACAAGGGCCCAGGGGGACGTCGTGCATTTCTGTTTTCACAGAAATTACTTAATAAACCCTTAAAGGAATCACGCTCAGTTAGGAAACAGTCATAAGCACCTTCAGCACCTGTTCATGTTATGGACACAAGCCTGGGGACACCACTCGCTCCTTTCACTGGCATTTGTACAAATCCCTAATATAATGGTCAGGAAGAGGAAGAGGATGAAGAGCCCTCCAGCCAGGCACATTGCTTCTGATTCTGAAGCCTAAATGAGTTACACAGAAACCCTAACAAGGGGCAACCAAACCATCACCCCGTATTTTTGCATAATTTAAGCCAGGCATACAGAAGCCTTGTGTAACAATCGACCCCAGTTAACATCAGGCATACTCAGAGACGTGCCACTTTCCTTAGCCCTCATCCGCCCAAGGCCTCTCTCCCATCAGACACCGTGACCGGTCTGAGGCCCCGAACAAACTCCTTCCTCCACCAGACCACACAGCTCCCATGGAGCTTGAAGCTGCACGAAAATACCCATCATTTCCTGATCCCACTGGCCCACTTAATCCTGAAAAAAACACAGAAAAATAATTTAAACAAACAAACAAACAAAAATATATTCCCTATTAAATCCACTTTGTCAAGACCGCTCACTGCAAGGAGCACATGGTGGCATTTGCTGCTTCAGTAGTGACAGGGTGAAACCAGCTGACAGGATTGATCTTTAAATCAGCATGTGCTGACCACATGGCCACTGTAGCAGGTAAGCGACCGCTGGCAGGTACAGCCCATGCCCTGGCACATGCCAGTGACAGTCCCGCCTGCGGGAGGGAAGAAGCTCATCACCACACACCAGAGGCCTCTGGTCTAGGCCACCCTCCCCAAGTACTCCTGTGAACAGTCTGAAGTCATCTCCCTCTCCCCAGACAACGTGCTGGACAAGCAAAAGGATGTTTTGCATCCTGGCACCCAATTTTCCAAGGGACAAGGCAGCCAAGATGTCTTCCTGGTGCCAGCTGGTGTCTCCAGCACCACTGCAGGAGACACTCCCGCCTTCCCACCAGCCTGAGGGTTGCGTGGGCATTAGTGCCACCACCAAAGAGATGGGTCCCAGAAGACAGGAACAAAGACCTCTCTCAGCAACCTCTGAAGCAACACAGTAACATTTCACATCACACTCAACTCCTGGAGCTGTAAAACTTGAGAGGAACCATATTGGCTTCATCTGACCTCTGAAACAGCAGCACTGCCAACAGAAATGCACATGGGAGAGTCTCTCCACACCAGAGCTCCCATCAGCCCAGTTGTGTTGAGACTGCAGCCACTGTCCTGCCTACACTGTTCTGCTGTGGGCTTTCCCCACACCCTCTGTGTGGCTTGAAAAAAGGTCATCAAGTTCCCCAACACCATGTGTACCCAAGGTCAGCAAAATAAGGGGCTAAAGCCACTGCCAACACCTGCATTCACATGGCTCCATATGCAGGGGCAATAAAAAGGTTTCACAATGGTCGAACACATCTTCCCCAGAGCCTACAGCACAAAAGCAGCCGCAAGCCAGAGAGCAGCTGACTCAGAGACCAGCTGAGCTGCTGCTCCACCGGCTGCAGCTCCAGCTCCCAACACATTTAACCATAATTACATGGGTCGGATCGCCTCTGCCTCATCACCCCAGTGTAGGGAGAGCCGTCATGTGCCCCGTCTGCACTTACACTGCTAACAACTGGAGGAGTTATCTCACTTTAGCAAAACAACATACACATGCCCAGAACAGTTTAGAAGTATGGTCAAGTGAAAGCCTTGAGGAATTTAATCTATGTAACTTCTCAACACCAACCCACCCCCCCAAAACCCAACCTCAAAGGGATTGACTCAACTGCTGCCTTTAAATACTTCCACAGGGAGTAGAGATTTGTTAATAGATGGTTCTTGAGGCTGGCAGAGAGGGGTATAATAACATCCAACAGCTGGAACTCGATTCAGAAAAATGCAAGACAGAATTAAAAAACAGTTTCTGCAACTGTGCAAGTAATTAGCCATTGAAACGACTTGTGGGGAACTAATGGATTGTCCATTATTGACTCAAACCCAAAAACGGACTGAATAACATCTTAAACTGTAGGTTCATCACCACAAGCCCATAACCTTCACTGTGCAGGTCAGCCGAGATGATTTCTGCCTCCTAATCTGACAATAAGATTATTTTTAAACTCAGTATAAAAGGAACAGATACAAACAACTTGGGAAGCCCCAGGGCAGAATAAGGAAACACAACTGCACCATTTCCTTCAAACTGCTAAAAAAAATAATCATGATGCCACCTTCTTTGTTGTGCCATTTTAGGGAACCTCATATCGTACATTTATATCTGAACATCTATCAGTTCAGCCAAGCAACAGTTTGGCAAGTTCAGTGCAAGGGGATAGGGAAGAGGAGCATAACCCCCATTTACTGACACGGTACATTCCTACACAGGATGTTACCTCATAGATTGGAGAACAGCTTTCTCTCGCGCTGTATGGCTGGCAGCTTGCTTTCAGCTTTACAGTTCTAGAGGTGATGTTCGCAGGCTGCACACAGCCTTCCTATTTCAAAAATTATACTCAAATCCTTATTGAAACAAAGGCAAAGCAAGCAGAAGTGAAGGGCAAGCTTTACACCACCTCCTGGGCAGGTGAAATGTCAGCCTGAAGTCGTGGGAGCTGCTGCACTCGTCGAGCAGCATGACTGAAGCTTCTGCGTTCATTCATCACAGATACAACATTTTTCAGCCTGGCCCTGGCCTTGCCTTAAGCAAACAGGAGTCATAGTTCATAGGGTAAAAGAAAACTGGAACAAGGGAGAATCCATGAGGCACTCCATGCTATTTGTTTTACTTTCATGTAAATACTTTAACAGCAGTGATGGTTTTATTTAAAAAGTCAGGACTTCGTAAGGTACAAAGATCCTTATAAGCATGTGTGTTATGACTCAGTGAGGCTGGCGTGTTTCCAGCTCTCTCTTTGGGTCTTTCCCAAGCACGCATCTCCTGACCTCATTCTTCATGCCAGGTTGCAAAAAGCAAAACAACAAAACACAAACTCCCTCTTTTTTCTTTTTCCAGTGCTGCAGCCAACACTCGGTTAAAATCACTGTGGCACCCAATGCCCTAAATGAATATGCTTTCATGGTTAAACAGCCCCCAGAGAGTCTTTCCCACAGATGCAAGAAGGTCATTTTGAAGCAATGGGAAAACTAAACCACAAGTTTCTACTCTTTCCTCAAGGATATTTTTGAAGGAGAACTATTTCAAAGGGTGGTTTTTACTGTGTTTAGTTAGAAACATAACAAAAATCTGTCTTTTGCATGAAAACACATTTTCAGAGATCATATAAATTACTTTTCAGCTGAAGGACCAAGATGGAAACATTTGTTTACTGGACTCAAGACCTTCAACAGAGTTTTGCCTTTTGGAAGGCAAATTACACCTGTTTTTCTCTAGAAGTCAGACCTAAGAGAAATTGGAGGAAAACCTAGATACGCCATCCGAGGCTGAGAGTGATCCTTCTGTGCAGGCTTGGGTGAGTTAGCACTACTAAGTGCAATTAGCAGGCTCATTCATTTACACAGCCCACTTTTTCAGTATAAGTATGGCACGGCAGGAACCTCATGAGAAAGCGCAAAGTGTTACTGGGTACTTCCCCTGCTGCGTTAGCAGAAGTCTCCAATGGATTACATAGTCCCATCAACCTTCTAACCACATTGTCCTCACAGGGGGAAACCCTGCTATTGGCCCATCGGTGTAAACTCCGTCTCTAAGTAACTTGCAGGAGCACATGGGCTGTTCCTCGACCAGACAGCAGAGGCTCTCCTCAGCAGATACTCCTAGCAAAAGTCTGAACTCCCAGGGTACTGATATGAAACTCTAATATATTCAACTGAAGCTCTATAAATAAAGATTTTTGGCTCCTTCTGTCAGCTATCATGCTGCTTGGACTTCTTACAGCCAAGCAGAGCATGGTGAAAACTAGTTATACCCATATATATACCCACAGTAATATCCTTGTAGTCTTTCGCTTACTATCAAGGTCCCTCTACTCCCTTCTCCTCTCAGAATAAAGTTCGCACTTATTTAATATTTAACCTTTTAATCAAGTTTAACTATCCAGAGAGGATGTAGCAGTTTCTCATTTAAAACAAACTGCTTATATTCAGTGAGAAAAAATAAAATCTCATGAATGGCTTAAGTTGATGAAGATTGATACAGCTTGGAGACTTAATAGTACAGTGACTCATGCCTTCTGGAAAATGTAATCTGTTCTGTCTAGTTTAGGAAAATAGGTCATGTTTTTAAAATGTGCTAACTAACATGAAGAAAGGGGAAATTTCCTTTATTAATGGTTCTGTTTTATAGCATTTTAAGCGTATCTGGTAATTATAGCGACTTTTTCCCTTCGTACTTACAGAAAACTTCCCCAAAGAACTCACATTACATTACAGTTCCTGACTAGCAGAACCAATGTTAACATAGAAAAGAAACACTGGAGGAAAATAAAAATCTCTCCCTGCTTTAGCACTTTTCCCACAGCTTTCACTGCCTGCAATCTCCCTTTGGTTTGCACCCTTTCACCGCCTCCTACTACACAGGAGGGATTGCATTTCCTCCTTTCAGATGAATTCTGAAGAGCAGCACGGGAGAGAAATGCTACGGTTTTTGGGTCACTAAAGGCCTCAGGCACTTTTGAGCTCAGTGAGCTTTAACCTGCTCTTGCAAAAATACATTAGGGTAGAAGAGTTACACTCAGAATCTTCAAATACATGTGTCTTCATACAGGCTCCCAGAACTGAGGTGTAAAAAATAGTTCCTAAATTTATCTTCGGCCTCATAATGAAATATTGAAAAATAGTCAGTTCATGTGTTGTTTCTTTTACATAAACTCAGCGGCCTCGTTGATGGTTCTGCACCTCTAGAAAACTACTACTCAATATGAAACTAGTGAAACCTTACAAGACATCAACTGTTTCCCGTGTTGGTCCGCCAAGATAAACACAAAAAAAAAAAAAAGAAAAAAGAAAAAAAGGCTAAGACAAAACAAATTCAGAGTAAAGACAGCTCTAAATTTTCCTAATTTATCAGCTTGCAGCAGGACTTCAACTTAAACCAACTCTCACCAATAGCCATGACTTCACAGTTACGTCTTTCTTAGGCCAGACCAGGAATATAATCAACCATTTTGCAATGAGAGTGTCTGAGTTTCGGGCTCTGACAAGAGCCTGCAGCAGAGAGAAGCCAAGGGTGGTGGAGTGCTGCAAGAAAGAGGTGTAAAGGTATACGATAATTACTCAGACTGGGGGAGAGGTTTTCATAACCAGATTAATTCACCTGGCACCACTTGGGATGCACCTGCTCCAAGCCCAATGCCAGCACCAGCCCCTATGTGGCCACTTGGCCAGCTTTATCGGGGAAAAGAATCAAAATCTCCCCCCCAAGACAAGAAAAATTACTGTCTTCATCCAGATCAGCTCCCTCATTACTAACCACATAACCAGACGGCAACCACTGCTGGGGCAGAGAGAAAAGTGGGATTGTCCCTTTGAGCAGCAACTCACACTTAGAGCGATGCAAGCCCACCTCAGCACCAAACCATGACAATGACCGTGAGAAAGGGAGGGCACCACAGACAGTATTCAGGAAATGAAAACCACTTTGCTGTAATGTCAATACTGTAAACCCCAAACATCTCACTGCATTCAGATGAACCATACCCACTTTTTCCAAAATTATTTACTTTAGAGGAGTGAAAGGGAAATATAAGAGGGTGAGGAGTGTATCTGTTACAGGGACAGGGCCTGCAACGATTTGGATAGGTGACAGCCTGACAAGATAGAATTTTCTGTTTGACCATCACCTGTAGCCAATTTATGCCTGAGCAAAAGCTCTGACTTGATAAATAGGTTCCTTACCTGGTGCTCTGTTCAAAACAAGGGAACATCTCCTAAAATGCACACTGAGTTATCTTTGAAAGGGTATGCTGTATACAAATACATACCTCCCGAGCAGAAACCAAAATAATCTAAGCATCATTTCCTGTGTAGGTGAACAGGTCTAAATCTTTCTTAAAAGAAAAACAAACCAACCAACCTAATGGGGGATGCTTACACTGCATGTCTTCACCTCTCTGAAATCCATGGAATGATATATATTTATCTTTGATTACACAGTACTAAAAAACTACAGCTGAAATTGGATTAGAAACTTCTGCTGAAAAACAATTTATTGCATAACACAACTCTGACAGCCAGGGTTTCTGGCCACCAACTGAGCTTTTATAAAAATCTGCTGGATAGCTGCCAAATCAGTTCTTTGAGTCCTGGCATGTCTGACATCTGAGACAGTAGTCAAGGCAGCCACATGTCCTGTGCCATCCACAGTCCTGCACTTTTACGTTTAAATGTTACCGTCAAAGAACAGAGTAGTATGAGCCATTAAACACACAAAGGTAAAAAAAATCTCCTGCAGCTGCAGATCTGACAACTCTGATCATGCTGCAGAAGCCCAAGAGCCACAACAGGATTTTTTTCTTTTTCAGGATCTGGTATTAATTTGAACATAAAAGTAGCTTATTAAGAAGAGGGGAAAAAAGAGAAGTGAGAAATGGTAGCAAGCTCCAAAAAAGGTCTATACCCCTAGCTGAAAATCGCTGCCATTTATAAATTTCACATTCCAAATATTCTTACTCTGTCTCCAGTTCTAATTAAAACTCTCCACCAAGTACACTTCAGATAGACACATAAAACCCAGTATGCACAAAGAGTATTCAGCGGCTCAAGTTAATTAAATCCAAATATATTCTTTCTAATTAATTTCATTTTGATCCAGTTCATATTTTTATAAGGTGTTCAAGCTCCAGTATGCAGCCATACAAATACAGTCCACTAAAAAAATATTTTCTGCAGTTTAAATGTCTGCTAACAAGACCTACAGACATGTATGGCTAATCCAATCCTCCTGTATATTAGCCTGATCCTCAACTTGAAAAACACTAACACCTTTTGCATGCCAAAATAGTGCCAAGGTAGTAGGGAAGAGAGGAAGATAAAATTGGTGTGTTATAAATTTGCCTTCAGTATTTCTATGGGAACTTAAAGAGATCTGATTTTTTGCATTTCACAGTGTCTGAATGGTTGGTCAGTGGTGTCAATACTTTAGAGAAGCCGGAGAACTGTTGATGTGTTTAGCATCTATCCTCACAAGTACAACAGGAGGTCAGTGTTTTTCTTTAGTAGGACTTTGGTACCAGGATGCTGAAGCCTGTAATAAGAAAAGATCTGCTCATCTATCTGCTTTCTAGGAGTACAGTCGTGTGTGTGTATATATATATATATATATATACATTATATCTATGTACGTATATATAAAAAAAATATGCATCTGCCAATATAAAACTTACATTGCTCTCCCAGTGAAATAAATACATTAGCCCAAAGCCTATATAGTTTAGCTATGTTGTTCGATATAGCTGTGTGCCCATCAGTAACTCTGAGGTATGAACTTTGGGAAGGTCACCATATCCCTGCTGGATAACTCTCGACCAAGCAGAGACGCTGTACTCACCCTCATTTAAACCCTTCCAGTACCAATGGGTTGCGCTGGTTTAAAGCCATCAGAGAGGAGGTTTTGGCTCACCTGACTCACTTTGATGGCACTGCAGTAGCTCATGATTGCATGACTAGCTCCATCACCAAAGCCCTGCAGGAGGACCATGGCCAGCACTGTCAAAGCTGGGGCGTGGTAAACTCTACCCACAGAGTAACTCACACAGCAATGGACCTGCAAGTTTGCGTAAATCTGACCCAAAGCAGGTCTGGGTGATGCAAGGAGTCCCCTGCCCTAGCTTGGAAATGTTTAACTTGGTTTCCTCCTCTTTCACATCAGTCTATGGGATTGTTCAGACAATCATCAGATAACAAAAAGATTTAAAGAAAAAGAGAAAAAACAATCTGGTCAGTCTTTAAACTCAGGGAGGGGAAATGACAGCCAAATGTGCCGAACCTATTGCTGGGAAACCTCAGGATACTGGGGCCTGAATCAATTTTACTGAGCTGGATGGGGAACTAAATCAGTTGTATTGACACAGGCTCCTGGGATGGACACACTGATACTGCGCTAAAAGCATGACGTTGATTTGTCTTGATGTACTACTGAAAAAAGGGAGATTTCTATCAGAATTTTTTGTCCTTGTTTACATTCTCGACTGACAGAATATTCTTTAAAGCTGGGAGGGAAGCATCCATTGAAGCTGGGGGACATAAACAAAATCTGTACTCCTCGCTTGTAAGTCAATTAAACCAAACATATGAGGTGACTCTAAAGCTACTCTAAATGTATTTTCAGGTCAGTTTAATTATACCAGTAAATTTTCTGCACGAAGACAAGATATATAAGCAGTGAAAACCTATGCTCTAAAGCTTTACCAAGCTCGCTCTTCAGTATTAAATACATTTGACTTCCAAAATACTACCCAGCAAACAAATGATGGTTTTGTAGTAGCACAGGGAAGCAAATAATAAAATCAGTATTTGCTCTGTGAGGCAATTGCTCAGTAATAAATCAGATGAATGCATCTAAGTAACTTCCCAGAAAGCCTGCAAAATATTTTTTCAAATAATCAGTGCCAGAGGAGAGTAAAGACCATAACCTGGAACTGAAGCTGTGGTAGATCGCTAAGGTACCCAGGTCAAGAATTTCAGACCAAGTTAGGTTGAAGTGCTGCTCTGCCACATACAGGCTTCACTTCTTACTACAATTTAAAACACGAGGGAGGAGAATAGCTAATGGTCACTGGCAACTCTAATATCTGGCCTGATTTGTGAAGACACTGTATCTCTCCTGAGTAGATAAATTCAGAAGATGACAAGCAGCTGGGAGGTTTTCTGGGGAAAAGGTGTTTTAAAAAAAAAGAAAAAAAGCTCTTTCTTATGGAGATAGTAGGCTTTCCTAATTACACAGAATGATTTTTAACAGGCAGGTGTTTCACAACAACCAGATCTGTGTCAAACCAATAAAGAAAAAAACATAATCGAGTTTTGAACTTTTCACAATTTTTTCCTTTTTCTTTTTTTTTAAACCAACAAGTCAGTGTTCAAAATAATGCTACAATGATTTTTCCTTTGCTTTTGCAGGTTTTTCAGCAGGCAGTGCTGGGTTGGTGCCAGGTGGCTCAGCACTAGGGCAGGGGTGATGCACAGCTACCCTGACTCTGTGGGGGCACAGCTCATGCAACAGGGGTCTGCAGAGGATGTGCCTCCCCCACCATCCAGAGATCTGTTTGGGTTGGCATTCAATTCCCTTATCCCTCCTCCACTCCCTGATCAATGGCAACATTCAAACTTTACTGATGATATTAGAAGCACATCAAAGACAACCATTAAGCTTTTAAGTGCACTAATTGACATTTTAGCACTTACAAATCCATCTGTGTGTTCTATCACTCAATTTAAGAGACCTGCTTCCCTGCCTGGTAAGAGTTCCCCATGTTTATAGCGGGTAGAGGGGGATTTTCAAAGCTTTTTTTTTTTTCTCAGACAGGATTTTAGAGAATTCAAATTACAAATATAATGCACTTCAAAAAGTAACACATTTCACAAATTTAAGAGCTCTTCCATAAAAGCTGTAAATGGCATCACAGCTATAACTCACAGGCTTCTAAGCTCCAATGAATTCTGCAGCTGTTGCAGCACGTCAAAGCCAAATCATTGTTACCTTCACACCACCACAACTGAAAACCCCAGCTATGATATTACCAACTGCATGGTGCTACATGAAAAAGAGGAGGGAAAAAAGGAACCTCTGTGTGATTTTGCAGTTCCTTCTTTCTTCCTTTGCAAAGCCAGCATAAAACAGATGCTAAAACTGTGAGGGACTGCTTCGGATTTTCCTAGAGTGGCTGTCCCGCAAGAGGACCCAGGGAACCATTTCAGAACAACTGCTTCCAGGGATGCTGTAGCATCAGAGGATATAGCACTCCCCTCCCCAGGTACAATGACTTAAAGAAGACAAGCCGCTACCCAATGGCCAAGCCCAGCCTCTGATTGCAGAAGAGCATCTCAATGACAGCAGGTCTGGACCCTTCTATTACTGTCACATACCAACATGTTCACCTTCTGTTCTGTTAGAGAAATCCTCATTCAGTCCCAATATTTAAGGCAACAAGAAAGATCAAATTAAATTCTCAGCATTTTAAGCCGTTCAGTTCATTGCCATATCTATTTTAGGGTCTGAGGCCACCAGCCACCCCCACAGAATCTGCGCGGTAAACAAGGCTTTTGACAGGCTTGTTTATACCTTCTGCAGCAATCAAAGGCAAAACATTACAAATCAAAGAACCGGGAGACAAATACAGTAGTGTGCATAGCAGAAACCTCAAAAAGCTAGCCAGCAGCAAACCTGCGGCTCACCGAGCCCCGTAGAGCAATGCAAGATAACACAGGAAAACAGAAATGGATAGTTAAGTAAGAACAGGCTTGTGCTGTACATGCAAACATCTGCAGGCAGGACCTCTGAAGCACATATCTCTCAAAATAAGCGGATGCAGAATCAGAAGACAGGGGGCAGGAAAAAAAGTATTATTTTTTCCAAAAGGACTGTGGGGAAAGGTCATAATTTAAGAATTCCAGTTTAAAGATTGCAGGGAACCTTAGATTTTTACCGATACCAGAAAAACAACCAAAAAATACCAAGCAGACATGGGCAATAATATACCATATTTCCGAGCCTGGGATTTAAATGGAAAGACAAAGGCTGCATTTTGGGGCCTAGGTGGCTACACCACACAAGGCAGTTACATCCAGTCCGTGTCCATCCTTAGAAAAGCAAAAATCACATTTTCTGCTCAATTCTTCCCTCTGTGGAACACTCGATATGGATGGAGTCAGTTTTACTCAGTGACACATGCACTGTGAACTACATCATCCATACTTTAGCAAACCTACCACATCAGGGAAGCATCTAAGCCATACGTTAAAATTACACCCAGAAGAAATTCAGTGGTACACCTTTGCTACTGTGTTCCTTTAAACCTTTCACCTCTTAAACTGCAAGTTCAATGTCAGATTATAAACATCATAAAAGCTCATAAAACCCAATCATAAACCTGCCAGCTCATTTCAAGATTATTTGCTCTTAGCCTTGCAAAAACATCATGAACAGTATGAGAATTGCATCATTTCTCTGCAAACTCCAACCCCTCTTCATCTGCAAGCTAAGGTCACTGCAATCATCCTGTTCCTATTATTGGGATGGGCAGGTGTTACAGCCTTACCTTAGAACAGATTTTTGCAGGAACGCTTCACACCACACCCACCTGCTAAACTATCCTCAGCAACATCCCCAACATCAGGTTTTGACGGCATCATCTGCTACTTCACCTTTCTCTTGCAAAATCTAGCTTTGCATGTTACCACCACAGCTGATTGAGACGTGAAAACCTCCTGCAACTGCAGCAGGAGTTAATGCCAAGTTAGGATTTTGTGGCATCTCTGTGGGCCCCATACAGCAATGCCTACCTCTAGCCCTTCCAAAGGCTGAGCCAGGCAGCACAGAAGCTGCCTACAGAGTGGGCAGAAGCACAGGCTGCTAGATACCTCCCCAACACCATCAGCATCAGGTGCTGGTTGTTTCCATTAGCCTGCAGTTAGGAAAAGAGGTGGCACTTTATTATGTGGGCTGGGTTTCCTGCATGACCAGCCACATCATAGGGAAAAGATTGTAGGCTGGACGGAAGCTGTCTGTTAGCTTCTCTGTGGAAAACAATGGGTTTAGTGAAATGAAATTGTCACAAGGGTCTAGACAGAGCAGAGCTTATCAACAACAGCTTTATGGCAAAACATTTCAGGAACTGGTTAAATCATATCTAGCAACATCACAGTGAAGTGATGGTTTTGAAGGCAGACTGTGATCAAGTCTGTGATTTTTAGGATAGATCATATCCACACCACCTACAATAAACTCAACCTGACCTTCACACTTCAAGCACAGAACTAACCACTCTGGTTTTCAGCTTTGTTGTATGCTTGCAGAAGGCAAAACAGAGTAGCCAGAAAAGGGGAGGGGGGGGGAAGACTGTACAGCAGCAGTACATTTTTAGGCATGGATCAGCTCTTGCAGTCTCTTGGCAAATGAGGTGGCAGCAGAGAATCATCCAAGCAAGTTTAGGAGCTGTGTTTCTGTTTATTTTAATTTGCAGTCTAGTGATTCTACTGTTTTGTGAGCTTATTCATGAGTAATACTGGAACTGGAGGCTGAATGTAGTGATGGACTAGGCAAGGCAGAAATATCCACCCAGAGAGAGCATCTCCCCTGGCACCAGCCTCTACTCCCAGCAAAACAAGCAGACCAGTTAGAGGCCAGCACCATTCCTTTGACGCTGCGGGCAGACAAAAGATTAACAATCCATCATTTCAGTCCATTGCAATTCCTTAAAAATGGCCATGACAGATACAAGGAGGAGGGTCAGACTAGTAAGGATTACACGCCATGTTGTGAGCAGGCACAAACTCGGTTATCTCAATTTTGCTACTGGAGCACTCTTAAGATGCACTGGGCACGTGATCACATCCAGTCACGTTACATGAATGCAACAGCTTCTGAGAGCAGTGGCTCCAACAGGATGCAGGGATGGAGCTATATGTACCTTGGGAGAGCAGATCGTGCTGAATCCTAATTAAACTGGGGGGGGGGGGGGGGGGGGGGGGGGGGGGGAAGGGTGACTTGTTAAAATGCCTTTGCATTGCTGGGTGACCTACTCCTCCCAGTGATTCCTGCATCCCAGCCATTGCAAGTTGCTGCATACAGATGTAGCAGCAATGGTACGGCTTAATCAGTCAATGTTTTCACAACACATATTTCAAATATTAAGCACTTATTGAAGACTTAGAAGTTACTGTGTAAATATTTGTATTATATTACACTGCTAACGCGTCCTTGCCAACTGTGGAATTTTAAATCTATCTCTGATAAAGCTTTATTTACATATCACACTGCTCTTGATACTCAACAAAGTGAACTGACTAAATTTACACCAACTCCATTCAAGGAGTACATGTCAGGAAAGAGCAATTCAATGATTTTTCATCTCCGGTATGTGACCAAACGAAACCACAGGCAGTCACAAGGCTTGTTTTGGGTTGACGTTAACTGTTTTCGCTAGGTGTCAATGTTCACAGGGAAAGCATTGAGCAAATGCACCTTGCTCTTAAAATACCACGCAACCGGCGGTTTACACTGAGAGCTACGTACTCCCAACACTGAGTCTTATACTGAGTCTCTGCTCAAAATCTGGCAAGTTGGTAGTGCCCACAGACCTTACATCCACAGTGCTGCTGCAGTCTGCTTTAGTCCTCTGAAGTGCTCCCAGGATGCTGCAATGCTCTCAGGCACCAAAACAGCCCCAGGGGTACAGAGTTATTTCCAGAGGGGAGAGGCAGGACTCTAGCCATCAGTTAGACATGGAGGCAAGTAGATTTTGTTACTTACTTATTTGGGTCAGATTATCACCTCCCACTATTTTACAGGAAGGGAAGGCTGTGAGAAGCTGCTAATGTTCACACAAGCAGTTAATACCTGGCAAAACATGATCAAGACACGACCAGCAGAAAACGAAAACACCTTTATTAGTCCCTAAGTACCTTATGTGGAAAAAATAACAGCCACCAAAATGTGGTGAAGTTTTTTCCTATTTTTCCTATTTCTGAAAAAGACGACAGATTTAAATGGGCTTTAGAAAATACTCACTGTGCAAACCCCTCATCCTATCCCTACCCTTCCCCTCCACAAAAACCTCTAAAAAGCAAAAGAAGATTTATGGGACTTTGTATTGACTTCAACAGTTGACACCAAGTTGATCATCATATCTTTTAAAAAAATGTGTATGTAAAGCACCTGCACTATTGAAGAAAACTCTCTAGTATGATAAAAATCTGTTTACTCACTGAATCCAGCTCGCAGATCTATTCTTTATTTTACATACTGAAGGAATATTTACTCTCTGATGAATTTGGTGAGACTTGCACAATCATATGTTGAAAAGGGGAAAAAATGGAGTTGAAGTCGCATGCTACCTTTCGACAGCTCTGCCAGCTGGAAATATGCCATCAATTGTCTGTTCTGAACGTGACTTGAAAGCAGAGGAGTCTGCTTAATAGAAATTCACTCAATTTCACCATGTTTACTTCAGGTTTAAGAAAATGGCCATGAAGAAGACAGATTAAATATTCTTCCTTTTATGAATATCCTCCTGTCTTACTTCGTAACAAGCTTTTAGCTTCATACCAAATTTATGACATTTCTAATTTAAAATGCTGTGGAAACTGGAACAGAGTAGAAATGGATATATTAGAAGAATTTTCCTTAGTTTCAAAATCTGAACAGTAAGAAAAA